TGCCAGACTAACTGCCAGGCATCAAACCAAGCAGGCGTCGAAACCAGACCAAACTGGGTTTGCCCGTCAAGCTCTTCCCACACATCTCCAGTACCTGCCCAAAGGCGAAAGTACTCGAGATGGCTGGAGTGTAACGTATCCTACTACGAATCTTAGCACAAGACATCCGCAAGCACTCTCCGCCATGGACCGTCAGCCATACAATCCAACTCTCGTCCGTAGCTGGAGATCGGTTCCCCAGACTACCCCAGGTTCCCAGCCCCGGGGAAAAGTCAATGTTGAACAAGGAAAGGACCCTGAAAAGTCGAACTCAGACTCGAACTTGCAGATCAGTCTTGATAGTGGCCAAGTTCAGTCTAACTCAACAAACACCCATGCCGTGCGAGAGCGTGTGCCCGTCCAGAGTTCGTTGACGAAACATACACACCTCCCCCTCCTAAAACGGCCAAAAAAAGCATGCCCTTCTTGATCTCCCGGGAAGCCCCAAACAGGAACAAATCTGAATTGCCGTATCCTGAGATTGCCCCCTTTGCTCCATCCGGCGCCGCTCCGGGGGAAACTCAGACGCCATGACAACAGCGGTGAACCCAGCCGGCCTCTCCGCTTCAGTGTCCCGCCACCACGTCGAGCAAGCAACAACCTCAACACAAACGCCTCGGACGGTTTAGAAAAGCACCGGTCTGCGGGCGGCAGTCGACGCCCAGAGAAGGTCGGTGGCTCGAACCATTGTCCAACGTGGTATGGTCCTCGAAAGAAAAACGTCCGTGAGACCAAAGGTCTCGTCTTAGCGCCTGGCCCGTCTCCCCGCCTTCTCCAAGCTAGACCTGGGGAACTAGGGACGATGCTGAAACGGTCTCTTCGCTGCTCTGTGCCACCGGACGCCGTGGACATGCAAGGTCGACATGGCATAGCCAACTGGAGCTTTCACGTCGTTGTCGTCGCAGTAAAGGTTTGTGGGGTAGCGATGCGAGATGCTGGTTGGTCGATGGAAGATGTTGCCTACTGGATGTCGTCTCATCAACGGGCATGGCATTGCCTGGGAGGAAAACGCCCGGCTGGTTAGATGTTGCCCGCGGCGAGTCCTAACAAACCGCCATTCCATAGTCCCGTTCGGTCGCTCGTCATCCCCATCATGACTAGCAAATAGGTTCATCATGGTGTAACATCGCCATCGCTCTACACCCAGTCAGCCAACATCTAGTACCAATGGGGTGGCGACGAACAAACGATCTTACCATTACATTGCCAGCGAAGTCTTTTGCAGCATGCTTTATGAAGTAAGCCGATGGCATTCTATATTGATGCCATCAGAGTCCCCGAGGCTGACTGCATACTGTGGGCGTGAAACGGGCAGCATGTAAACTCACCGAACCTCGAGAATGCGGGGTAGTTATATCCCTTCCCATTGGTACGGTGTGGAGGCATTGCGACCTCGTCGAGCGGATATTAGAGGCAAATACCATGTTTCCTCATTCTCGGCATGTTCTCTGTTGTGCAACATTGCCGGTGAACGTCTGGGCAAAGCCCGAAGATCGTGTGTTGGCTTATGTTGTGCAACTTTCCTGTCAAAGTAATGGAATGAGGCCATCCGAAAACCCTGTTGAGAATATCTGCCGGAAGTAAAGGGTGTGAGTAGTGTGTACGAAGACCATCGTCTTCCTCAACCCAGGGCAGTATGATATGGCGAAGCTCAAGGCGTTGCGTGGCGGCTAGGTTTTAGAGGGCCCAGATGGGAGCTTCCGTCTTACTGCCTCGTCGTGATACCAAGCGTTGCTCATTTAAGCTCCTATATTGTGAACAGTGTGTCAGATGACCAGCTTCGCCTGATGACTGGCAAATCGGAAATGCTTCCTGAAGATGCTGTTTTCCGAGGTCCCGACTGCTCAGACGGCCAGGATTCCGGTGTCACTTTCGAACAATATGGAAGAGAAAACTGGGTAAACACTTGTCATGCTGGGCTGAAAAGCCGTATCACGACATGTGTACACACAAGTCGCAAATATTTTGCTAGGCCAGATATCAATATTGACGAATGCAATCTATTGCCCTGGGCCATTTGTGCTGCTTGCTAGACCCTGCTGGCGTGTAGAATCCGACGTTGCAGGCTCGAAAGATCACAAGACCTCTCACATCTTACAAGTTCCCCGTCTGCGGTGCGGAAATTAGCATCTCATGCACATTGCCGGCCTCATGCTAATGACTACATCTTGTGCGCAGCCCATCGGGTCGTCGGTGCGGCTTCGGCCGGGCATCCGTGGCCCACATGGCAAATTGTAAATACCATCTTCGGACCGTTGGGAAAGCTTGGAGTGATCGCTCCGGAAGACGTAGATATCTCTTCATTACGGCGTGCACGGCAGGAAACTTCCCGTGCGGCAGACGCCCTCGCGTGGTCTTGTGGCACGGTGAAGATGCTTCAGGCTAGGTAGACCAGAGTTGATAAAGAGCCTCATCCAAGATCGACACGGCGACGTCCGCGCGGTAGCAGGTGGGCCACGGTTCCAGTATGGCACCGGCAAATGGACGAAACTCTATCTTGTAGATCTGTAGACCAACACGGTCTGAGCCTCGAAGGTGTAGAGAGATTGGCCAACCATATCGCTTGATTTGAGCTTCCGCATCCTCAGACAAAGTCCAGACGAATCTCACCGCTATTTGATCGAGCGTCTGTCCAAGATCAGCTTGAGAGTGCTAATCCCGAGCTCTAGTAGCTTGTGCATGAAAGATATCGAGGATGTTCCATTGTCCAATGGAACGTCGGCCACCCTATTGAGGGATATTAGTGAGCCAAAACGAAATCCAGAGGCATCCACAATCTAATTACTGCCTGCAAGTACAGAGGTGTAAGCCACGGTAGCCGCCAGTGGCGAGTCTCTTAGTCCGACTGCGGCGGCGTGGTGGGCGATGGCAAGTGTGATGGCTGCCCTAACCCCAAAACCACTTGTAATCTTGGTTTAGGGCGATATTTGTAGTATATGGGGCGCAGCTGCGCGTGGCTCGATGCCACCGGGTTCAGCCACATAAGAGATATCGTGACTGGAAAGAATGGCGCCTTCAATTCGATCTCCAAGGAACGAATACCTTGACAGGCAGATAGGCAAATCACTGGTACTCTATGCGAGCATCTTGTTGATGAGACGCGGGAGTGGCCTGCATCTCAAAACCAAGGCAGAGCCGATACGTGGAAGCGCAAGCGAAATATTTTGAGGAGGCCTGCCGGCTGGGGGCAGAACCCCGGGCGAGAGGTACGCGTCCCGTCTTCTCAATGAAGCTCGAACCGCCTTCAGATTACACGGCGATCTTGGCTGCAAGGGATTGATCAAATATCAAGGAATTCATCGACAGCCTCGAGTGCCGAACTGCCGTTATGCCAGATGCAGTGGGCTGGTGGTTTATTTGGCTAGATTGCGATGGCGTTGTGCGGTGTATGCGAGGTGAATGTCTCGGTAGGCCTCTAAAAGGTCTCGGTGAAGAGGCGGTCAGAAAGGGCCGCAGTGGGAGCAAGTGTCTACAGCACCACGCATAGTTGTAAACATTGTGTTTTGTGTGCCAAATGCCCAAACAATTTGATTTCAAGAGCATCCTGCATGTCCAGAACGCCCAGGGGAGGGGGTGAGACGACCGGGGTGCAGTTCACTCAGAGTTTCGCACGGCTTTGTCGATTGCCTCTCGTGTTCGGTCGATACGGCCATGCCATTTACAGATGCAATTTCCAAAGCCCAGGTGGGGAGGAGGCTCGAGAGAGACGTCTTGATGGGTTCCATTGGTGATCTAGAACTCTAGACGCATCCTAGAGGGGCCGTTGAGCGAGGGGGGCCCATGGGGATGCCTCTGGAGACTGCAAACCACCCATGCCGGCGTCCATCTGGGAGTGGACACTGTAGCGACTCCATAGTCATCGGTGATCTCTGTCTGAAAAGCTCCGGTATCAAGATTGTAAGGCAAGCGCTCCGTCTCCGTCTCCATCCTCATTGTCCAGCGCAGTCCGAGCCTTTGAAGGTGAAGAAGCTGGCTGGTCCGGGGGAATACCGGTAGCTACTGTCCGTCAGTGGCCGGTGGCCGGTCATTCTCCCCCGTCACGTTCCGAGAACCTGAACAGCCTCTCTGGACCAGACGCCGGAATAGTGCCTGTGATGATGGACTCGTCGACAGCTTTCTCGCAAGTTGCGGGCTTCCTCGCGGCTCGCTAATAAGCCTCAGATAGAAGTGGATGCCACTGCTGAAACTGCGGGCTCTGGCGGACGCTCCTAGCGCACGGAAAAGAGGCTTACTGCCCCTTCGCGCCCCTGTAGTCCTCTTTTGGCCTCCTTGGTCTCCTTGGTCTCCATGGTCTCCGTGGTCTCCGTGGTCTCCCCTGTAGAAAGGACGCCAGCACCCGCCTGAGGCGGCAACGGCACGAAGCTGGCAGCGTGGTTGGAGCAAGAGGCCAGCGTTGTGGGGGGCTGGTTAGGGGGGCATACGGGGCTATTGTTGACCACTTTAAGCCCTGCGTACCGCTAAGAGCCCCGGGCGCCTAGTTCATGAGAGAAAGACTCGATCTTGCACGTTAATGCCCGATGACGGCTGAGGGCCGTGAAACGGGTCACTACGTCATTTAGCCCTTTCCAGGATGCGTAGCAGCGTAGGCACGCGCAACCCATGTACGAGTAGACGCAATGAAGAGATTTCGTGCGTAGAAAATGGTGTACGCGCAGTAAGGATATCGACGGCCTGCCTCTTTTGCCCATGTTTGTGTCTCCCTGCCGCAGTGCCCACTGCCCCCATTCCGTCCTCCTGCGGGGGCAGGACAGATGAGGAGAGAGAGACGAGATGGAGATTGGAGAAGAGTCAAGACTCCAAGTTGAGAGCCACAGTGCCCTCCCCTCCCCTCCCCTCCCCTCCCCTCCCCCACTGAGGATCTGAACCTCCGGATATGGCAGCCAGATGTTGACGTGAAAGGACTCAAGGGATACAGTCTGAGCTTCTTCGGTGGATACGACCCGTTTGGTGCCCGCAGTCTTTCATGTTTGATGCAAGGTTGATGGCTCTTTTGGAAGTTGGAGCTGTAACTCAGGAGTGATGGGATGAGATGAAGCCGACCGCAGTCCTATGTATCGAGTATGGAGTATCGCCCGAGCCGAGATAATGTGCAATGGTACGTTGAGATCGCACCATGGGCCCATGTTGACTCTCCCATCGCCATTGCCTTGCTCATGCTGACTTGCGGTTGGCTGTTTCCGGAGCAAATCCTCCTCAAAGCAACCGACCGCAGCCATGGTTTGTCTTCTCCGCACTCTTGGGTCTTGCTTTACGTGCGGCGTGTACCGAAGCCTGCGGGCATCGATTCCCGTCTCAGCAAGCCACGGCATACGGGAAGACTATTGTCGAGAGGACGGGTTCCCTGGGCTTGAGTAGGCTCACGCATCAACAGCTCATACTCGGTCGACACGCTGCGTTTCCCGAGTTTCTTCCAAGGAACTTTGTGGTCAGATGACCATGGTGGTGACGGTAATGATGATGCCGCTGTCAAAGACCTCCGAGAATACAGATCGTGCGCCCTCATTTCCCATAAACCTGCTTCCTTAGTCCCGGGACGTTTACGTGTACCTATCCGTACTCTGTACGCCATCTTCTTCTTGTCTCACCGGCACGGATGGAATGAGGTTCTGGGGCTGACACCGGAGATGGGGGCCAAAATTGCCAGTCGGATCCTTGCTGCCGTCTTAACTGAGCACAAGTATATTGCGTTCTCGAACAAGAGGATGTCCTCCGTTCCCCAGTCTCATTAGCGTAGAAACCTTTCTTCATCGGTGGCCCTTTCTGGCCCTGGCCGCTGAAGCGAGGGCCTTTGAGAGGCCTTATCAGAGTAATGCCATGCCTGTAAAGACCACACAACCATGGGTATCTTTTTTTTTCTTTCTTTTTTTTTATGGATGCCACATTGCTGCAGCCCTCGCGTGCGAAAGTTGGCAGCATCCCGGCTCGTCCTGGCAAACTTCGTGCAGATCAGTGGGGCTCGTCATCGGTCGAGAAACGACTAAGACCTCCATTGTCGTATCTGTGAGGTTGCAACGCATTCCAACTTGCGCGGCGAGGTACACCAGAGTGACTTGATTGCTTGACCAAGCACCTCACCCTCTCCAGAGACAGACTTGGAGCCGACGACGTGGTCACTGGTGAGAACGGAGGATGAAGCTGTTGTCTCCAAGGCATATGCACCGTAACTCGGGTGGAAAATCAGGGTTTAACATTCGCATGTTGCCTACTAAACGGCTCAAAGCGGCATCTCAAACCCGGAGGCCACACTTGGAAGCCAGAATACCGGATTCGGTTCGAGAATAGCATGTCGCCTCTGCGTTATCGATCCGTCCCGGTCACCTGGCATCATCCGGAGTCTCGTGGGGCACTTCTATTCGCGACCCACGCGGGTTGGTGCCTCCTTCAGCCGTTGCGTGGCACGGGAAGAGGGCGTATGGATACCAAAATGGACATGTCTGGGTTTCTGTGCCTGACGATGAACAGGGCGAACAGCGATATGTCTTGACATGTAGCCTTGTAATGAGACGGCGACGGCGAGGACGAAACGACGCGTCTGTAATTGCGATCCCCCCCACGCCCTCACAAAAAACGCTCCTCTCAGTGACCGTTGATAGTGGAAAGTCTGGCACCATTTGTATCAGCTGGTGTTGAAAATGCGTCATGACTTGTACAAGTCATTCGAGTCGCCTCGGACGCGGTACCAGGCCGGTGCAGTCGAAGCTGATCCCGTGAGCATTCTTGCAGGATCTTTGGAATACCCCCACAAACAACCGTGCCATCCGAGTTAGGACGTGGGATTTCTGCAAAGCTATCAAGTCTGACGATTTTGGGGTTGGGTCATCTAGCTTTGTCCCGGATCTTGCGGGGCGCCCAGGCAGTCGCATCAGAGCCCGGGTTCTAGTGCAGGCTGATTTACAGCTAGATGATTGCTGCAAGCTAAGTATACGGAGTACTGGGAACAAGTAGGAATGATTCCAGGCAGGTTTTCTGGGCGAAACACACCGCTCTGGCATGATTCCTTCTTCCCCGGAGGCTTTGAAGACAATCAAGGAACCTTCTGGCTGTGTATGGTCGCATTCGACGCCTCTTCCTGCGACACGTCAAATGGGAGCCGGGCTACGAGTCGAATGCTGTCGAGGGACAGCCTGATTGGCCAATGGTGAATCGAGGTACACATGGTTTGGAGAACCCAGCAAGATTGCGAGGATAAAGGCGACTTGTTGGGTAGCAGGCTAATGTATTCCGAGTTGGCCGTGGCTCCTTCGTGACCCTTTAGCAGAGAAGACATAAGCGCAAGATTCCATACTTCTCTGGTCTGCTTGATTTGTCGAGTGCGGTCACAAACTGTGCTGCGGGGGAGATGCGGCTGTTGAGCTGTAGAAAATAGAAAGTGACCTAGATTCGAACTCTTCTATTTGTTCCCCCGCCAAAGGGACACAGACAGTGTTCAAGATCCAAAGTCCATACAACCACATACTATGTTGGCGTTGAGACATGTAGCGCTGCAGTTGTGATTGGTCGAGGCCATGGGGCCGTTCGCCAGGCATGCCCCATGTCTGTCTATGTGCTCCGTACTTTGCTCCCATGGGCTGAACATCGCCTGGCACGGAAGATCCGGAAGCTGACGCGCGCCGGGAGCGACTCGGAAGCCGAGCCCTGGTCTCGTCGTCGACTCCTGCGCTCCGCCGGCTTCCTCCACACCTCGTCGCCGAGTGGAGATCAAGACACAAACTTTAATTGAGGTTCCGTCCAGTCTCGACTCGCTCGCGACGTGGGATGCTTGGCCAAAGATGATGTTTGCTGGCTGTTTGCTAGCCTCACCGCCCCTTGATTTTCGATCGATGCTCTCGAGAGTCTCTTCTATGTGACTTGAAGCTGACTCAAGAGGTTGAAGAAGCCCCCGAGAATGGTTTCGACTGGGCGCCTCTCCCAAGTGCCAGAGTGTTGAGCTTGCATTCGTGGGATGTGGCCAGGTCTTTGCTTGTCTCTTGCGAGCACTCGTTTCTCGCAGTTTGTTAAGGCGCAGCCCACCTGTACCTACTGTAGTGGAAGATACGAAAACAGTGTCTCTGTCGTTCGAAAGGCACGGTCGCCACATCTAGACAGTCGCACTGTGTTCGCGCTGTCTGGGGCTTATCCAAACCCTCGCCTTGTCGTGTATCCGGCTCACCAATCGCTCGGGGCATCGGCCATATGTGGCGCTCACTGATGCTGAAGACCGTCATTCATCACCAGATGATCTTCCGTCTCCGGACTCCAGCGTCGGTCGTAGACCGAGATCTGACAATGGCATGTTTCCAGGGCCGAGGTGAGATCTCCGCGTATGTGTTCTTCTTCTCTTTTCAGTTTTCAGAGGTGCATACCCTCGAAATCTAGATCGATGGCCTGACAATACCAAAAACTCGACTCTGCCTCGGGAGTGAGTGACTTGATTGCAAGAGTCAGGTTGGCGACATGGAGGAGGTGTCTGAAGTTACACTCCCTCCCTGAACCCCCTGGAACCTTACGGACGGGCGGTGTCTGGGAATACCAGGAGAAGTCTGTTGTCTGGGGAAGAAAACGCCACCTTGGACGCCGCCGCGTGGTAACAAAGAATTCGTGATACGCAGAAGAGTTCGACCATCGTTGCTCGTCTTTCCTGCAAATTGATGCCGAGCTTTGGTTCATTCCATTTGAGGCCATCGAGCCGTCCCCAGCGAAACAAAGTGACGAATCAGGAGCTTTGCCAGGACCGGAGCATGAAGCAGAGAGGGACCGGGTCCACTAGGTGTCAGGCAAAAAAATCCCCGGTGCTCCAAAGCTGTAAGAAATCAACATTGGATGATATGATGATCCTTGTCAACCATCAGACCACCGCTCATAGCCGGCGTTTCCCTGGAATGCGCATCAAGCATGTGCAAAGACAGAGTTCAAGGCCAGATTGCGTTCTCTTGATGCAATGTTGCAGCTTCGCATCTCGATACAGTCAGATGGATTATGATCGGTTCGATGTTATCAAACGTGGGCCACTAGTGTCAGTCTTGTTGGCGTGGAGTTTCGACGATCATAGGGATGACTTTGCCGCGGCCGCGAAGCTCAAGCGAGCACGCGAGTTATCCGCACTGCGGTAGGGTAACTGGAGCAGTTCGTATCCCAAAGCCGTTGACTACGTTTCTGTGTCGATCTTCGCCCAGAAGGTGGCCGGCCACTGCAGCTAGGTAGACTTCAGGGTCCTCTGCACATAAAGGTCGGCAGGGTCTCGTTGGATTAGGGGACCTGTTGCGGAGTAGGCAGCTAGACTGCGTGCGGTAAAAAAGCGCCATCCCCCATCTCAAGAAGAAAAATAATGACAGAGACGCCATTGTGACATGGAATGTGTGCCATCAGATCATTGCGTGATGCTCGGGGTGAGGTTTGTCGACTCGGGTTACGTCTCGGGTCCGCTCTCGGAACCAGGTCCAAGGGACCCTTATCAGAAGCCTAGGGCGCAGGGCGAACATCAGTCTCTTCGTAGTCAACATCAGATCAGTTGATGTGACAGATGTGTGACCTGGGGCTAGCATTCAACATCTCCATTGTATTTGACGCAATCTCTTTCGTCACCCCGCAGGATCTTGTTGGTTTCGCTACCGTAGTTGGCTGAGCAGGTCTCGTACATCGCGCAAGCTCTACGTCAGACCGAACGATTTCCGTAGCGAGGGAATTGGAGCGAGGCAGTTCTGAGGATCGAGCGATGGTAGGAGGGATTCCGCACTCTACCTTGAGCCGTCGACTACGGGCCGTCCAGGTATCCGGCCGGTTGATTGATAGACGGCCACCGAACTGCTGATCCCCGTGTACGGATACTGAGATGGAAGCCGGCCTAGGGTGTAAGTATGCCCCGCCATCCGGCTCCCGATAGGTGTGGCTTGCACAATGGCTTGCGTGCTTTGTTCGAGGATTGCTGCTTCAGTGACGGGCGGGCCACGATGAGATCCTTGTTGAGATGTCATGAGCAGGGGCAAATTTAGCATCTTTCGATGGGCGACTAGGTGAGGGTGGCAGGGGCCACCTTGACTGCGCAGCGAATCAGGGGTAAGCGATGTGCGTTTTGGGCATCTCGGATTGCGACTTCAAAGATAACGAGACGCGGTGAGACGTGCCCGGGAGGTGTCGTTAACCCAAAGGCGCAAGGCGTGCCTCGGTGATGGCACGCAAGACGAGCAAGCAAGCAACCGCGAATCTTACCACGGTGTGCAGCGTAGAGGCGCTAACAAGACGCTTGGCTGCGAGATGCAGCCCCTTGAGTCGCCGGCCACTCTTAGCTTTGTGCTGTGTGCGAGTTGTTGGTGTTGGGTGATATCGTTCGGGTCCCCTATCTCCAGATTTCTTGCCAAGGTGATCCGGCATCCATTGACCGTCGAGGGGCCAAATTGGGTGAAGGTGAGCGTTGGGCAAAGGCATCT